TATTATATATATATATATATATATATATATATATATATATATATATATATATATATATATATATATATATATATATATATATATATATATATATATATATATATATCAGTATCTCATTTTTTTATCAGTATTTCCTACTTTATGTATATCATCGTTGTATTGGTGTCTGAAGTGATAGTATCGTAGAGATGGATGGAGTTTATTGCTAATTATCATTTTATGATTAGATACGAATGAGATCTTTAATGTTTGGTAGAATGATATTTTCACGACAAAAAAAGAAAATAAAAATGGTTTATGAATGCATAAAGTTGGGAAAAATGACAAGAAATAGAAGGTATTTTGGTTATTTCTTCTTAAATTTGATAGAAATTTTTCATTTAAATTATCATTTGAATTTAGATTTATGGTCATCAATTAGGGTTTATTCATCTTTTTTTTTCGAACAATTCCAGCTTTTGTTTCTTATTTAATTTATTTATATACAATTTAGATTCTAATTATCTTTCTCTTAAAACCGTACAGTTTAGTTGCGAAATAAAAAAATTCGTTTAAAATGAGGAAAACTAAGGTTATTCTAATATTGCAATGATAATAATTGATTTGAGATTTATCCGAATGATTCTACTGGAACTAAAACTTACTTCCTAAATTTGCTTACTCATTTTTAAACTTGCTCAGAAAAATGGTTAATTCTTTCACATTTTATTTATATTTGCTATTATATTTGCTTAATTATACAAAAATATTGATCAGCGATAAACTAAAATGTTCAAACAATATGATAAATTAAAGTTAGTCCTATAGCTATTAACAAATCTTTTGCTATAATTCAAAATAACTGGGGAGAAATATTGAAATATGTATTTAAATGTAAAACATAATATTGAATTTTATTATCCATCAGTTAAATTTCAATTAATTACCTTATTGCCACTTTCTAATAACAATTTTCAGTAATGAATTAGTTTTTCAAGCTCACAAAGTTATGCTTTAGATGAATGTTTTCTGATTAAATGTTAAAAAATGCAAATTTTATACCATATGCAAATTTTGCTATTTGAACAGTGTTTTGAAAAATCATGAAAAGAAATAAATCATTTTTTTCACCTTAATTAATGAATTCATATGCAATGAATTCTAGGATGACTGCTATCAAGGATAAAATGGAGGCGAATAATCCGGAATTAGAAGAATTACCGGAAATGGAACAACTTCGTCGTCATGAAGTGGTAGATCCAACATGCCGTGGTGCTAATTTGTTGAGAATACCGCAATATAACAAGGTATCATTTATACCAACCGATTTCGTTATCAAGTGTAAGTATATTTGTCAAGTTAGTTATTTGAGAAAAAAAAAGGGAAATTATTGATTCATACAGCAATAAGAATAATTAAGTAAGTAAATAATTGGACAAATAATTAACTGAATGAATAATAAGTAAGTGATAAAGAAATAAACAAGTGAAATTCGAGTTATATTCCGGTAGACCGGTATTTATGCGACGATAACACTAAACGATTGGTGAGATCTATCGATGAAGTAATTACAAAGTGTAAACTTGATAATGATTATTTCATGTTTGTAACTATCACTTTTTTTTCCTCATTATTTTCCTCGCTATTATGTTCCTCATTATTATTTTCCTCATTTATTGTATAATTACTAAAAAAGGAAGTGGAATTGTGATTGAAAATGATTGTAAATTATTTATTGCTATTTTAGTTTTCAAGATGTCAAACAACCTAGTAAATGGTACTTTTAAAAGGTCAAAGTAAATTGGAAATTTTTAGGGAATGGCCTTTAGTCTGTCTGAGCGACAACATCTGGGAATTCATGGTCTTCTGCCAGCGGCATTTGAAACTGAAGAATTACAAGTTTATCGAGTGATTAGTCAATTACGAGCGGAAAATGATAACCTTAAAAAATACATCATTTTAGATAATCTTCAGGTATTAAATAAATAGCTTCATACAATAAATCAAGACAATTAATGTTTCTTTATAATATTTTGCAAAAAAAAAGGGTACTTTTAACAGTTGAAATAGAATCTTTAGGGATTTCATTAAATATTGATAACTATTAATCTGGCAAATTTCTTAAACAAATTTCAACTTTAATATACCGAGTCTATCAAACATGTACATTACTAAAAGTATATTAAATGTGTATTAGTAAAAAGTTAGCAAAACTTATTTATTAGGCTAATGAAGAATTAGTATAATTAGTATAATATATATTACTAAAGAATCATTTTAACTATTTTAGATCTTCTCTTGTATTGGGCAATTATTTTTTTAAAAAAATTTTTTCCCATTTGATATCTTTAGGTTTATTTTGATTTTTAAAATATATTTCGAAAAAAAAGGTGAATTTGAAGGATCAAAATGAGAAACTTTATTATCGTACTGTTATTGAGCATATTCAAGAGCTATTACCCATTGTTTACACACCAACTGTTGGTTTGGCTTGTCAAAAATTTGGTTATATTTTTCGGCGACCAAAGTAAGGAAAGTTTTCATTCCATATATTTATTATTTACATCATCATTCTACTTATATTTGTCAGAACATCTATTGTTTTTTTCTTTTTTTGTAAAGAGGAACTTGATGATTTATTACAAAATATCTTCATTAAATTTTCCATTTTCCAAAGTTTAACATTCCTCCTTAAATTCTTTTGCCTAACTTTTCCTATCTTTTTTTTTCTTCATTTTTTTTAAAGATGATTTAAGCAAAAAAATTTTTTTCCTTGAAATTTTTATGCCTAATTTTCTTTATTTTAAAACTTACATTAAGGAAGAAGAGAATTTAATCGATAATCTATCTTTGTTAATGCTTTCTATTTTCTCACCATTCATTTTTAAATTGAAATTATCATATAATAAAAACTGTCTTATTGTTAGACTTATTGAATTTCAGAGGTATTTATATAACAATAAACGATAATAGTGTGAGTAAAATCTATCAAATATTGAGTAATTGGCCAGAACATGATGTCAGGGTAAGAATGAAATACTTTCTATAGTCTGTACTTTCTCGTAGTATGATCATTATTATGATTATTATTAATGGTCATCATGATAGGATGAAAGGATATGAAATGATAAGATATTAAAGATCGATCTTCATGAATATAGGAAAAGGGAAATGGCTGTTTCAAAAAAAAATCCATCAAACTTTGAAAAACTAAAAAGAACAATATAAACTTTGGAAGTGCAGAGGACAGGGAGCGACAAAAGAGAGAGAGAGGGAGAGAAAAAGAGAGAGAGGTTGTGAACCGTTTAAAGGAAAGGATAAATTTTTTAAATTCTTAAATAAGAAATAATTTTTGTTACCTGTTAGATTTTGAAAGTTCATAAATGAACTGATTGCAGGCTATTGTTGTCACAGATGGTGAACGCATTCTTGGTTTGGGTGATTTAGGCGCATATGGCATGGGTATACCAATTGGTAAACTAGCATTGTACGTAGCACTTGGTGGTGTTAAACCTAAATGGTGTCTTCCAGTTCTTCTTGATTGTGGAACAGATCGTGAGGTAAGTTTTATTAACTTTTCTTATTATTTGAAAGAAAGTATTGTAAAATCACTGTTTTTGTTTTTTTTTGCTTCAAATTTAAGCTTTCTTGGGATTGAAAAATAATTTCATTCAGCTAGGTAAATAAAAGAGACATAAGTCAGTCGAAAGTTGGAAACTCAATAAATTAATGGCAAATTAATCCAAATTAATTAACTAAGGGCAATCATAATTAAAAGTTACCATAATATGTTTAGGAGTATATCATTAAAAAGAAATTAGTGCAAAAAAATCGCATGTCAAATTTGTGGATGGAATAAAATTGTATAAAATATAAAATATCATTTTTAGGAACTGTTGAAAGATCCATTTTATATTGGATTAAGACGGAAGCGAATACGTGGTGCTGAATATGATTTATTGATTGATAATTTTTTAAGAGCATGTGTTAAGAGGTTAATTTTTTTTATTTTTCATACAAATATTTCATATTCTCATCACTATCGCTACCATTATCGCTATTATTATTGATAATCTAGTGACGATTGAATAGTTTTAAAATAGGCATTCTAGTGCACAAGTTGTTTTATTGTTAGAAGTCTCATCTGCATTGATTATCCGACTATTTAAAATTCAGGATTATTTACAAAATTGAAACATAAAGATTTAAATTTATGCAAAGTCTCTCTAGATTTGGTCAAAAAACACTAATACAATTTGAAGATTTTGCGAACATCAATGCAGGGCGCCTATTAGCAAAGTACAGGAATAAGTATGCGACATTCAACGATGATATCCAAGGTGAAAAGTTCGTTAGAAATTTTAATATCAGTAACAATATCAGTTAATATTAGAAGTTCGTCAAAAACTTGATATCAATAATAATAATTAACTTGTATTTTATTCCATTCCAAAATAGTAATGTTGTCATAGGATACAGTTCAAAAATTATAAAAATAACAAATACAAGTAATTACGAAATTTGTTTCGTTTCAAGTTAATAATTATTATTACTTTTAATTTTCAAAATATTTCATTTCACCACTTCACCTTAATTTCTTTGCTAACTTGAATATCTCAAGTTCATCTATCACTTTTGAATTCTTCCATTTCTTTACCGAATTCAGGAACTGCATCAATTGTTATTGCTGGTTTGTTATCATGTGGAAATATTTTGCAAAAAAAGATGAATGAACAAATATTTTTGTTTTTAGGCGCTGGAGCGGTAATGTTTTCTTTTTTCACTAAATTATCATTGAATTTGTTAAATTTACAGTCTTCAATTCAAAATTATTTTAAGCATGTTAATTCATTTGTAACTTTCATTCATTTCTCCGACATCATCATTAATAAATATTAAAATATTTACCTGAGCATACATGGCAAATTGTTAGGATTTTCAATTTCAAAATATTATAAGTCTTTCTTATAATATAGATAAGTGAAATATTGTGTTTCAGCAAAAAAGTTATTGGAAAAAAGAACTTAAAATATTGAATATTGAATGAATGAATATTGAATTAAGATATTGAATGCAACTTGAATAAAAACTAAGATGTAGAATAAACGTAGAATAATCAAATTTTAGAGGACGGATGATAGTATGAAGAGTTCAAGTTGCTAAGGTGAGTTAATTGAGTTACTGGCTTTTTATTCGAAGATACGTTCAGGCAGCAACAGGTATCGCCGACATGTGTGTACTAGAGATGCAGCATGAAGGTATGTCAGCAAAGGATGCATATGAGCGCATATTTCTCATCAATAGCAAAGGATTAATTACCGTAAACAGTCCAATAGTAAAACCAGAACATCAAAAATACGCGAAAGAAATGCCACATATCACGGATTTGCTCGAGGTTAGCTTATTGATTCCAGTAAAAGTTTAAAATGATGAAAAAGGTTTGGTGGAAAATGATGAAATATTTACCTTTTTTATGGTTTGTGATCATAGTTTTCAATTGCTTGATACGAAGTTTTAGATCATCGATAAAGTACGGCCAACCGGTATCATTGGTGTATCAACCGTTCACGGTGCTTTTTCTGAGCAAATAATACGGAAAATGGCTGAACTAAACGAACGACCGATCATTTTTGCATTATCAAATCCGACCAGCAAATCTGAATGTACTGCTGAAGAAGCAATTCGATACACTAAAGCAAGCATTTTCATTTTTAAAAATGGTGATCAAAGCATTGTTTTGAGGAAACTTTTATTTTTAAAATTGAGGCGAAAAGTTTTTTCAAATATTATTAGTGGTGAATTCGACAACATTTTCCGCTACTCTCTAATTAAACCAAATTCAACAACGTTTTGTACTAAATCATTTACATATTGAACGATATTTACTGTCTTACCGTAATCAGTTTTGATAATGCTTCTGAAAATATAATTTGTTTGCTGTTATGCAATTACTGGAAATTTCGTTACTTCATGCTACAAAATTGTCATTGTTATTTCCTGCAAAAATGTTTTTAAATCAAATTTTCAAAAGTTAATATATCAATAGAAAATTTGTCGCTTACTTATGTAGAAGACTTTAGCAGTTACTTTCCACTGAATTAGAAATGATAGCATCATTTTAAACTTAAACTAGAATACAAAAATCCATAATTACTTCGTATTTAAACTAACAGAAATTTTAATTCGTTGAAATTGCAGGGGAAAGTATTGTTTGCAAGTGGTAGTCCATTTCCAGAAGTTATTTATGATGGAAAGCGTTACAAGCCTGGACAGGGGAATAATTCCTACATTTTCCCGGGAGTTGGTTTGGGTATTGTGCTATTTGAAGTGCGAAATATCGTCGAAGAAATATTTTTGATCGCTGCGAGGGTTATTTTTCTATATTCGAAACATTCCTTACTTTATTTGTATGATAGGCCTATTACCACAGGTACGAGCACAGAAATTGCTTTCAATTTTATAATATTATATATTTACTTATCTCTAAACGATTACACACCCATTTTTCATCTTGGTATTCGTCGAAAATTTTCAATAAAATTTTTAGAAAGTCTCATCCAGTGTAACCGAAAGAGATATAAGTTTTGGTCGTATCTATCCCAGTCTTCGCAGAATTCGAGAAATTTCAGCTGCAATAGCGTTAGAAATTGGAGAATATAGCTATCAGGTTTTTGATCTCTCAGTATTTTCTCAAATAAGCATTTTTGCGCAATGACAAATTTTTCATAATGACAAAATTTCAATATTTCCTTTTTTTTTTCGGAAAGTTCCAGCTGATTCCATTTCCTATATGTTTTTCATATTCGGTAATATCACTCATCGAAAATAGTTCCATTAAATGAAGCAATATCAACCTGTGCTTGCCATATAAATTAGAATTTTGGATCGTTGACTCTTAATGGTCACCATCAGATTATATACAGATTTTAACAATTTTGACAAAAACTAATTTGTAGCATGGAATAGCTGGTCTATATCCAAAACCGGAAAATATGGAACAATATATTCAATCACAGATTTATTCCGTACAATACGATGAATTGATTTGTAAACAATATAGTTGGCCAATTGAGGATACGAAAAGAAACATACCTGTTCCATCAACCGAAGAGAGCAGTAATTAATTGAAATTTATTTTGATTTCTCTTTCAGTTTTAGATTCCATCAGTGCCTACCAACGACGGTTATTCAATATGCTAAAAATCTGTCGCAAGTTTCTTTTTTCTAGTTTTTAAATTTCCTTAGACTTTTAAATAATTACTGAACATTGATTAGATGCTTTTTTTGCTGCTATATTATAATTTATCGAATAATTCACTTATTAATTCCAAACATTTTCGATCTATCCGCAGAATTCTAATCGATTGAAACTAATCATTCTAAACGAAAATATGCTATTTTTTTCGCAAATATTTTCGATACAATCATTTCTTGGGGCAATAGAAATACTTTTTGCAAATTGGTGGGCCTAACTATTAATCTGTTTATTCCGAATTTTATTTTCATTGATGAAAATTTCTTAGCAATTATTTATTGCATTATGCAGTTATTTGGTACAGCTAAAATTGAATTGAAGTAAATGGAAATAACGAGTAAGATTTATTAGCATTTGAATTAAATTGAAGTTAAAAACCCGAAAGAACTACGATTAAATCATAAAATTCAATGGATGATAAGTATTACCTTAAAAATCTAATAAAGTCGATGGGATCAT